GGACTAAAGACCTGTGCCACCATACTCGGCTTTTTTACATTATTTCTATTTAATAATTTCCTAATAATAAGATCCTTTCATGGTTCATAAGTGTGATGATTGGGTGTTCACGCGCATGCATGACATGTGCCACCCCCAAACCTTGTTACATACCGGCACATTACCCGTCTGATGTGAAAAGAAAAAAAAAAAACTTCCTAATAAGGTGTTTCTCTAATCTCCTCCAAGTCCCACTTTTTCTGCACAACTGTCAGAATCTTTCAAAGACAGAAAGCTAGGGCTGGTGAGATGGGTCAGTGGGTGAAGGTGCTTGCCTCAAAGCCTGACAACCTAAGTTTGATCCCTGGTGGAAGGAGAGAACCATGCCTCTTTTTCATGTTGGCCTATATGCACAGGTATACATGCATGCATGCTAAATAAATAAATAAATGTACTAAAAATAAAATAAAAAACAAAGCCAGGCATGGTGATGCACACCTTTAATCCCTTTGTGAGTTCAAGGCCAGCCTGGTCTACATAGCAAGTTCCAGGCCAGCTGGGACTACAGGGAGACCCTGTCTCAAAAAGACAAAAAAAAAAAAAAAAAAAAAAAAAAAAAAAAAAAAGAATAATTTAGAAAATACATGGTAAAGTATTTCCAGATAGAGATGTCTGAGTCTATCGGGCTCTTCTAACAGTCAGCTGTGGAGTGGGGGGGCACTCATAGGGTCCTACCACTTACTGCTGATCTCCTGGCAGCCAGTGGTAAACCCACCAGAGGCTTACGGGTCATACACTCACAGATGGCCCTGGTTTAACTCTGAGGAACACTAAACAAAACCAACTAGTAAATAGGGGGAAGAGATTTATGGGGGAGAGGGGGTGCTGGTAGGAGTAAGAGGAAAATAGAGGGACCAGAATACATAGCATACATGTATGGAATTATGAAAGAACAAGTTTACTTATTCTTTTAATTTTTATTTTTTGGAGCTGAGGACCAAACCCAGGGCCTTGCACTTGCTAGGCAAGCGCTCTACCGCTGAGCTAAATCCCCAACCCCTCTTTAAATATTTTAAAAATTATTTATTTTTTATTCATATTTGTATAGGTATGAGTATATTGCCTGCATGTAAGTGCACCCGTGTTACACAATGCCCGAACAAGTCAGAAGAGGGGCATTGGATCCCCTGGAACTGGAGTTAAAGATGTTTGTTAGCCATCATGTGGGTGCTGGGAATTGAACCTGCGTCCTCTGCAAGAAGTCAGTGCTCTTAACTGCTGAGCCATTTCTCCAGCCCAGAACAAATTTACTTTAAAATGAGGAGGGGGGGTCTAAAATTGTATTCTCAGAAATTTTGTTTTGTTTTGTTTAAATAGTTTGTTATTTTTATTTTATGTGTATGAGTATATTGCTTGCATGTAGGTAGGTGCATTCATGTTTTGCAGTGCCCAAAGAGGTCAGAAGAGGGCATTGGATTGTCTGGAACTGGAGTTATGGATGGTTTGGAGAGCAACAAGTACTCTTCACTGCTGAGCCCCTGTTTTGTTGTTGCTTTGTTTTTTGTCTGTTTTTTTTTTGTTGTTGTTGTTGTTGTTTTTGAGACAGGGTCTCCCTATAATCCCAACTGGCCTGGAATTCAACATGTAGACCAGGCTGGCTTCTCACAGAGATCCACCTGCCTCTACTTCCCAAGTGCTGGGATTAAAGTTATGTGCGATCACACCTGGCCTCTTTTGTTATTGTTTATTTGTTTAAGATTTATTTATTTTTACTTCACTGTATAAATGTTTGCCTGCCTGTATGTACTATACCACATACATACCTGATGGTTGTGGAGGCCAGAAGAGAAAGTCGGATTCCCTGAAACTAGTGTTACAGAGGATTACGAGCTGCCAGGTGGGTGTTGGGAGTCAAACCTGGGTCCTCTGCAAGAGCAGCAAATGCTCTTAACTGTTGAACCATCATTCCACTCCCCTGCTGTTAGGTTGTGTTGTTTTGTTGACTTTTTGAGACAAGGTCTCCCTGTAGCCCCAGCTGGCCTGGAAGTAGCTATGTGGACTCAATCTCACAGAGATCCATCTCCTTACCTCTGTGAACTAATGGCAACTGATTACTGCTGGGTGAGGGAGAATAGATCTTCTTTAAGGGATAGACTCTAGATAGGCTGACTAGACTCTGGTGGGTGAACTTGTAAGGAAGGATATCTGGGTATACAAACTTGACTTAATGGGCCTTAACATATACAACAGAATGCATGAAATCTAGGGGAAGAGGGGCCTTGGGGGAGTGTTGATGGGGGAAGGGGTATAAAGATGATTAAGATGTTTTGTATGAAGTGCACAGTGATTCAATAAAAAATATGCATTAAAAACAAAAATAAAGGAAGTGCTGCAATCAAAGGTGTGTACCACCATGTCCAGCCCTGTTGTTTTTGATGCAGAGTTGTTCTGTAGCCCAGGCTGGCCTTAAACTTGAAGCAGTTCTTCTGCCTTAGCCTCCCGAGTGCTAGAACTACAGGTATGAGTTACTATGCTCAGCTAAAATGTGTCTACCTATCTAGGTATATTTGTACAGAAAATTATAAAATAAATGTGGTAAAATGTTAATATTTGGGGACTCAGAATGAAGGGTGTAAGTCTGAATCATTAAATAAAAGTGAAAACATAAGAATTTATGTACACAAAAGAAGTCCCTCAGTGCCTCATGGCCCAAAACAAGGCAGAAAGGCTTACTCTGGCTTCAGGTTTCAGAAGGCTTGAGTTCATGATTGCTGGGAAGGCAGGTCATGGCCACAGGAGCAGAAAGCTGGCAAATCACATGTTCATCCACACACAGGAAGTAGAGAGAATAGTGGACTGAGGCTATAAACTCTCAAAGCCAGCTCCCAGTGACATACTTCTTCCAGCAAGGTTCCACCTCCTAAAGGGTCTATAACCTCTCCAGACAGCACCACCAACTGGGCACCAAGTACTCAAATCCATGAGCCTTTGGGGGACATTCTCATTCAAACCACCACTCTAACTCAAGGTACCTTAAGCAAAAGGGATTTGGGGGTTAATCAAGAACCCAAAGACAGAAAGGCAGCAAACCAAGGACTATAAAACCTTAGAACTTTTTCCAGATCTTAACTACCTACTGGGACTGTTCGGTCTTTTCTTCCCCTCTGTAAACCTACATGACTTCTATGTTTTTCCATCCATGTGATAGCTTTAAAAAAAGAAAAAGAAGCCGGGCGTGGTGGCACACGCCTTTAATCCCAGCACTCAGGAGGCAGAGGCAGGAGGATCTCTGTGAGTTCAAGGCCAGCCTGGTCCACATAGTGAATTCCAGGACAGCTGGAGCTACAGGGAAACCCTGTCTCGGGAGACCCTGTCTCAAAAAGACCCAAAAAAAAAAAAAAAAGAAAAAGAAAAAAGACCAATTTAGCTTTCTTGGCGCTAATCCCAGTTTTCAGGAGGTTCTCAGTAGTGGAGACCAGTGAAGTCCCATGTGGGTAACCCTAGGGTAAAGGCTTATAGATCAGTGAGGTAAGTTGTACTGGAACCATGTGGTTGCAGAAAGGAAGGGAAGAATGAGTCCTAGAATGTGTCTGCCAGGTGTTCAAGGCCGATCTTCACATATATATGAAGACACTGCTGCCTTCATTCTCTTACCAGTGGCAAGGAGGCTACTTTCAGCGACTTCAGAGAAACTAGGATTTATTAGGCTCCTTCATGTGTAACTGGTACTCAGGTACCATCAGCAAAAGGAGAAAGGCGAAGTTGGCCTAGTTCTGGGTTTATGTTCCACTTAGTCTTTAATATTATTTATAGATATCCAAATCTGTCACTGTTTATAGATTATTCAAGGGAATTCTGTCCTTTGCTTTGATTTTGCTGTGTTATCTTAGCCTAGGAACAGGAGGTCAAAGGTCTGAGGGAAGGCAAATATACAGATGTCCCCCTGCCCATATTCATAGGATTGGGTGCATCCTATCTCTCCTGCCTACAAATTTCTTGTCTCCAGTTGCTCTCCTGTTAATACCGTGCTTCAGGATTTTTTTGTTTGTTTTTGAAAGTGAGGATTGGACACAGGGCTTCCTGCACACTAGGAATGCACTCTTCACTGAGCTATCCCCAGCAATATAATGATTTGATTTTTTAAAAAAATACATACTATTTTTAATTATGTATATGTATGTTTGTCTGCATGGGGATATGTGCATATTGAGTGTGGGTGTTCTCAGGGGCCAGAGGCATTACTGGATCCTTGGAACTGGAGTTGCAGGATTTGTGAGCTGCCTGATATGGGTGTTGGGAACTGAACTCAAATCCTCTAACCAAGCAGTCTGTAGTTCTTAACTGCTGAACCATCTCTCCAGACCCCTACTTCTTTTAAAAAGATTTGTTTTTAATTATGTATGTGCAATATAGTGGGTTTTTTTTTTTTTTTTGGTTTTTTTGAGACAGGGTCTCCCTGTAGCCCCAGCTGTCCTGGAACTCACTATGTAGACCAGGCTGGCCTTGAACTCACAGTGATCCAGCCAGATAGGTTCAGCCTGACCTGAGGGGTACAAAGGAGCAACTACTAACACAAAGCTGCAGAGGCTAGCAAGGGCCAGGCCACCAAGAATCATGTGAGGAGTTTGGAGGAGTTTGGACTTTGTCCCAAAGGTCATGAGAAGTCACTGAAAGGCTTAAGAATATTCTGGTAACATTTTCCTTTTAAAACCACTATATTGCATGACACGCATGGTGGCTCATGCCTTTAATCCCAGCACATGGGAGGCAGAGGCAGGCTGATGTCTGTGAGTTCAAGGCCAGCCTGGTCTCCATAGCGAATCCAGGCCAGCTTGGGCTAAAGGGAGACCCTGGCTCAAAAAGACCAATAAATAAATAAATAAATAATAAATAAATAAATAAATATAAATAAATAAATAAATAAATAAATAAATGGATCTTGGCAATGAGTTCATGTTTACCACATACATGTATGTTTTTTCTGAAGTGGCCTCTTTTTCAAATTCTGTTACTCCTTTCAGGACCTGGGTTTCAGTGATGAGACATGGGGTATGATGTGACCCGCTTTCAGGGGGATGTTGATGAAGACCTTATCTGCCCTATTTGCAGTGGAGTTTTGGAGGAGCCAGTACAGGTGAGTAGATCTGATGGCCACTTTGTGTGGACAACAGGTAGCAGTGGAACTAGTAGGAAATATTCCTGAGGAATGGGATAGCTGGGAAAGTCGCTGTGTTCTACTATTTTCCCTATCCTTGTGGGTAGAAGATAATAGAGGATCCCTTGTGAGAATCCCTTGTGATTATAAGGAACATAGGACATTCTGGAGCCATAGATGCCCAGGTTCAGATGTCATCATGAAGTCACTGAGATTTCTGTGTTGTAAAATGGACAACTGCTTGTTTCTTCCTGCAGTGGTTTGCTAGGCGCCTTTCTTCTACAGGAGCTCTGACTGAGGTCTTCTGTTCATGATTGACCTTCTAAGACTTGCTGAGTTCTCTCTGCATTTTGACAGTATAGTGCTTCATGAACTCAGCAGTCTCCCTGCAGGCTTATTTTACCTTCCAGTGGTCTTACACATAGCAGGTGGGGAACTCTGCTTACTTATCAGCTTTCCTGCTTTCTTCCTGGGTCTACTGAAAAGATCAGCTGCTTTAAAAAAATTTTTGGTTTTTTTGAAACAGGGTCTCCCTGTAGCCCCAGCTTTCCTGGAACTTACTATGTAGACCAGGCTGGCCTTGAACTCAGAGAGCTCCACCTGACTCTGCCTCCCGAGTGCTGGGATTAAAGGTGTGCATCACCACGCCTGTCCAAGATCAGCTTTTTTAAAAAAAGATTTTATTATTTTTATTATTTTACATGTAGGAATGTTTTAACTGCATGTGAGTGCACCGCATGTGTGTGGTGCCCATAAAGGCCAGAAGAGGGTGCTGAGTCGCCTGCAACTGGAGTTACAGATAGTTGTTAGCTGCCATGTGGTCCTCTGCAAGAGCAGCAAGTGCTCTTAACTGCTGAGCCATCTCTCCAGCCCCACAATCAGCTTTTTGATGGAGCCATGTACTCAGCACTTTGATATGAAAGCTGCCAGCTCTGTAGGTCATTCCTCTACCACTTTTGCCAGATCCAGAGTCATTTGTATCTTCTGGGGCAACTTTGAGGAGAAGCTCAAGATTACCAGACTAGTAGTGAAGTCAGTCCTTAACAATTATATTCATGGGACCTCATTCTGCATGAACCTTATTGCCTTGGTTTAGTCCTTTGCCATTTGGCCAACTGGAGAGAACCCATTTTCCAAACCAGGATACCAGTTAAGGTCATCCTATTTGCTACTTAGGTAATTCCCAGACTTCCCTTAACCTGTTGATTCTTTCTTTCAGTTTTCAGCTATCAAAAGGAGCAGAGGCTTGAGCAGAGTCAAGTTTAGACTTCACTCCAGTGGCCACCAGCCCTGGAACTACAACCCTTTTCTCTGCCTTTGCAGCCTATTGTCAGTAGAGGCATATTAGATGGGTGTAGAAGTATCAAGAGGTCATGGGGTGTGTCATGTTTTCTGGAACTGTCATCTGAGGCAAGTCACTTGCGGAGAGATGAGTGGTAGTAAGCTTTCAGTGAGAAGCCACCCACCCATCTCCTAGGTCTACCTTCTGAGGGAATAGGCAGGTAGCCTTCCTGATACTAGGCATATTTCCAGGGGCAGACGGCCACTGCTAGGTATGCTGATTTCCCCATGCCGTATTTATTTGGTTTTGTGGTACTGAGGATCACACCCAGGGCCCTGTGCACGTACTCTAAGCATGTACTCTACTACTGAGTTATTTGTTTATTTATGAATGGGTAATTTGGTAGGCAGATCTCTGTGAGTTCAAGGCCAGCCTGCTCTACATAGTGAGTTCCAGGACAGCTGGGGCTACAGGGAGACCCTGCTTCAAAAAGACCAAAAAAAAAAAATTATGTGTATGTGTGACTGTGTGAGATTCTGTGTACCACATGCATGTAAGGTGACCTTGGAGGTGACCAGACTATTGCAGATTCCTTGGAACCAGAGTTACAGGCTGTTAGTTGTGAGCTGATTGTGGGCGCTGGGAAATGAACCTAGGTCCTTTGCAAGAGCACTAATTGCTTTTAACCACTGAGCCATCACTCCGGCCCTAGAGAACCTTTTTTTAAAATTATTATTTTTTTAAAAAATTTTTATGTGTATGTGGATATTGCCTGTATGTAGGTAAGTGCACCCGTGTCATGCAATGCCCACAGAGGTCAGAAGAGGGCATCAGATCCCCTGGAACTGGAATTATAGACAGCTGTTAGTCACCATGTGGGTGTTGGGGACTGAACCCGGGTCCTCTGCAAGAGCAGTCAATGCTCTTGACTGCTGAGTCATCTCTCCAAGCCCTGTCAACCATTTCTTTAGGGTTACCATATCCTACACAATGTACCTTGTGGTTCCTACCTTCAGGCCAGGTAGGAACC